TGGACAAACACGGAGCTGGAAGAAGTATGTATTTGTGTTTGATTTCACATGTTATGTTTATCTCTCTTTCTGCCACTGAACATTATGAATCGGGAGCTGCACACCTTGGGAGACGGGAGAGATACAACCGAGAAGGTTAACATCTCCATACACCCTCAGAATCATGTCAACTCACGGGAAGTGTGTGTGTGTGTGTGTGTGTGTGTGTGTGTGTGTGTGTGTATGTATGTGTTTCTGTGTGTGTGTTTCCTCCTGCAAGTCAGAGATGCCACAGCCCAGGACGCTGATTCTCAATGTACCCAGAGAGACGGCACTGGACCATCTCGGGTCCAGTGGACCACCTGACGGGGAGAAGGTCTCAAACTCCTCCGTGGACCTGGGCAGCCTGGCTTAGTGAAAAACAGTGACTAGTTTTTTAGTTAGTCCCTTTCTTCTTGCAGTTACTTATTCATCCTCCCCAAACTTTCTTTTACAGTAAGAGAACGCACGACGAAGCAGAGTACAAGCAAGTGGAACTCAGTTCATCTGATGATCTGCCCACACCCGGCTGAGTCACTCCTAATGGCTCCTCAGATGTCATTTTCTTGCTAAGACATTTGGAAAAATTTCTACCTCTGAATCACAAGCAAACACTATAATTCACCAATCTTCTCTAAGTTATGCAAGGAAGTATGATGCCCTAGGAAGTGGAAGATCAGGGGCGGATGAAATCAATGAATTCTCTGAGAACTTTGTTTTTCTCCTAATCATTCATTTGCCGAATGCAGGGCTGGGGGAGCCCCACCCGACCACTGGGGTCATCTCCAGGGGAAGTCTGGCAGCAGTCGATGTGGCGTTTCTGGATGACACTTGGTTTTCCTTATCGTCTTGGTCCTGTTCCCGTAATAGACCCGAGTGTCATCCAGGAAGGGGCTTGCTGCCACCCCATCTTCTTGAGGACTGCTCCTCGCGACGAAGGGCTGGCCACTGGTACTTAATGATTTCAGTGTCCTTGGGCGAGCGGGGTCACCCCCGGTGCACAGGGCAGTTTCGCTCCTGCCCTCTGCCCCGCTGAAGCTCCGCTCAGAGTCTGTCACCATCACCTGCCTTTGTCACAGCCCTTCTCAGGGGAGAAGATGATTTTGTCATTCATCACAGATGGCCACTTTTAATCACTTGCTGTGCTTCAGGGCAAGGGGTCACCTTCAGCCTGACAGGAGAGCAGACCTTGGGTCTCCCCCCGTGTGAACTGTCACACGTTCACCTGTGTGGCGGGAAGGGGCCACTTCTCGGGGACTGAAAAAGGCACTGTGTCTTCAGTTCCTCACTGGCTCTCGCTAACCTGGCAGCCAGAGGGGTGCACGTTCCCCAGGGAGCAGGTCCCTTCATGAATAAGGACAGAGGAGCAGAGACAGGCTGGCGTCAGGCCTGCTGCGAGTCCGGCCACTCTGTGCTACCCGGACGTGTTAAATCCAGATGGAGGGCTCTGTGTGCCACAGCTAGCTTAGGCCAGATACATAGTAGGTGCTCAGGACCCAGGGTGCTGGTGCGTCTACGCGGTCAGCTGCATCGCCACCTTCCATCCTGTGAAGCTGACTTGGAAAACACTGCCTGCCCAGGGGTGTTGAGGGCTGCTCGGTCCTCAAAGCAGACCTGGGCCTCGGGACGGTCATCCCGCTTTCCAGCTGAGACAGCTCAGGTCTGGGGAGAGGTGGGCCCTGCTGAGCCGCAGCCTCTCTGCCTGGCATCCGCCCCCTACCCCCAACCCCCGCCCCTGGCAGCATCCCAAGCTCAGCACATGCCGCCCAGGCTGAGTAAACGCTGCTGGCCGCGCTGGAATCAAAGCAAACAGGGTTCCTCTTCTTCCGCCTTTTTGCCAGCTGCCCCATTAACAGAAAAACCTTTTAAGCGCTCATCTGGAAACCTGGCAAACTGAGGTGACCAAGAGAGGTGTGCTCCAGGGTGGAGGCTGGCGTGCCCAGCCCGCTGCGCCCTGCTCCTCTGGCATGCAGTGAACACATGGAGATCGAGGGTGTCCCTCAGGCCAGCCCCTGGGCCCTCCCAGCAGCTCTGCCCCCCACCGTGTCCTGCAGTGTCCCAAAATAGCTCGTGTGCTGACTCCACGTTCCATCCTGACATCCTTGTTCTTTGGAACAGTTTATGCTTTCAGCCTGGACCACCTCTTAGGGGACGGAGGAAAGAGCCCTCGGCACCGAGCCCCACCCATTAGGGCACACTCGAGAATACGTTCTTGGCTCTAAGAAAACTCGCCCTTCTGAGCAGGGCTGCTCAAACTCGCCCAGCTGTTGGTCTGCCCTCAACAAACATTGACTGAGGCCCTGTTATGTATCAGGCACTTTGGGGACTCAAAAGGTGAAACGACACATCAGCTCCCATGCTGGTGAGGAGATAAGGCAGGAGTAGAAGTAATGAGCAAACACAACCGTATGTGGAAACTGCCACTAAAGCTCTGGGGCCACCAAAAGGGGGGGTGTCCCTGACCCCCCAGGGTCTGATCTCGTGCTCCAGCCTTGGAGTCTGCTGGGCAGGGGAGGGCGGGCTGGGCAGGTGGGGACACAGAGGGAAGAGGAAGGGGCGAAGGCACTGGGGTAGGGAGAGTGCGGTGACTTCCTTGGAAACCGAAAGGTTCATTCTGTGTATGTATGTATTTTCTTTAATTAAAGTATAGTTGATTTACAATATTGTGTTAGTTTCAGGTGTACAGCACTAGATCTATATACTATATATATACTTTTCTTTTTCAGATTCTTTTCCCTCATAGGTTATTATGAAATACTGAGTATGGTTCCCTGTGCTCTACAGGAGGTTCTTGTTGGTTGTCTATTTTATATGCAGTACTGTGTATCTGTTAACCCTAACCTCCGAATTTATCCCTCCCCTCTGCATAGTTTTTAATTTGTGAAAAATACTGCTAAGCACAGGCAGATTTCTTCCTCTTGGATTTACACAGTCTCCTCGTCTCTTTACCTTGGGGAGCGGCCAAGTTTGGACCAGAAGCAGGTGTGGGTCATGCGGTCATTCAGCTTTGAGTAGAAAGAAATTTCCGAACTAAGAAATGTCGCCAGAGTCCTCACCTTGTTCTGTTTGGAAAGATTCACCCGTTGTTAACATCTCCCCACGTTTGCTTAACCTCTCTCTCCACGTATCACGTTGTTATTGTTGCCCAGCTGTTTCAGAGAAAGTTGCATGGTGACCTTGAATACCTGGCAATATCTCCTGAAAACAAGGATTTGCATTTGCATAGCCCCTGGGCTAAGATGGAGTTCAGAGATTATAACGTGGCTACACTGTTATTATCCAATCTACAGAGTCTGTATTCAAATGTCCACAATTGTCCCAGTCGTGTCCCTTACAGCAACTCCTCCTCTGGTCCAGGACCTGACCCAGAGTCACACGGGGCTCTTAGCACGTGGCCGGTGAGGTCACCAGACAACGGACAGGAGAGGTCCTGCTGCTGACTCCGCGGGACAAAGTCCTTCTTCCCCATCTGTGGGTTTCCTTCCCAGTGTTCAGCTCAGGTCTTTGCTCTGCGGTTGAACTCCTGGGAGTACTAGAGGCTATCTTCCCCAGAAAGTCCTTTGGCAGTAACTTCCCTGCCCATGTCACCGACCTCACGTCATGGGCCCCCAGAGGCCTCTAGAAAGGCACGGGGTTTAGGAGTTGACAGTCAGGCTGGGGCGTGCGGGGTGAGAGGTGATGGGCCGGGGGCTGCTGGTGGGCGTGGTTTGCTGGGAGCGCTGGGCTGAGCACCTCCTGTGTGGCTGGCCCTTGCTGGGCATCAGGGAGATGTGGCTGGGAGTCCGTTTGGGTCTATGGGACTTCATCGTCTGGTAAAGGACCCAACAGCAAACAGTGAGCCCCCCGTGACAAGAGCAAAGGGGCAATAAAGCACAGAGCTGGGGGGTTGAGGGGGCAGCCAGGCCCTGGTCTGGGCAGAAGGCCCGACGGAGCAGCTGCAGCCTCTGCATGAAGAGTGGCCTTGGCATGTCAGGGAGGGGCTAGTGAACACCATTGTGAACACTGGGCTGGGCGAGAGCAGTCGTGGGCTGAGAACCTGAGGGCCCAGCGTCGAGGGAGGTGGCTTCCAGAGCCCTCACCATACAGGCTTTCTCAGGACCAGAGTTTGGAGGCGGTGCTGGGAAGGAAGCTTGGGGTCAGGTTAGCAAAGGCTTTGATGGCAAGCAGGGGAGTATATTTTATTTACTTATTTTTTAGAAGTATTTTTTTAAGTTTTAATTTTTTTTTTTTTTTTTTTTTACTTTTTTGGCCACACCTCGCGGCATGTGGGATCTTGGTTCCCCCACCAGTGATCAGACCCACATCCCCTGCATTGGAAGCGTGGAGTCTTAACCACCGGACCGCCAGGGATGTCCCAAGCCAGGGAGTTTAGATTCTACGTCTTGACTGTGGTTTCCCAAACTCCCAAGAATCCCATGTCACCCAGACAAATTTGGCCAAGTTCAAAAAGCAAACTTTCTCTTATTATCATTTTACTACTACACATACTATTTTTTTCTACTAACATCCAAGTATACAACATAAAAACTGTCCACCCGTGTTCCCCTGACGGTCACCTCAGCGCCACCAGTGGCTTTCAGACGAAGCACGGCTGCAGGCGAGGGAGCCATGGCAGGTTCTTGAGGGAGGGTGGGGAGACGTCTTAGTGGTCGTATGTATGACTGTAGTGAAGCCACTTCACGCTCTGGGATTCGTGGCCTCATCTGTCAAGCGATGTGTTTAGACAACAGGATTTCTAATAATACAACTGGCTTGGATGGGAAAGTTCTCTGGAGGTGGTCCTGGTCACCCCAGTGAGCTAGGAGCCTCACCAACTTGGGGCCCGGAGCCAGCGCTGGTGCCCAGAGTCCACCATGGAAGGCCTAGGCCTGGTGCCAGACTTCCACGCACCTTGAACGATGGCAGCCTTTGGTCTTGAACTCTAGGAAATGACCAGGCAATATTCCGTGTTGGGAGAGGAAAAAACTCCCCCTCCACAGGGATGATAGGGGGAGGGCTGGGGCTGGGCCTCTGGGCTGGACACACCCTCGGGTCACACTGGGAGGTAGCCTGGTCAGCTGGTCCCATCGCTGCGATGACCAGAGCTGTGTGGGGCTCACAGCGGTGACGGGCGGCTCTCCCAGAGACTGGGGACCCTGTGAAGATCTTGCCCTTGGGCACAAAGCAAGGATGCGTGAGATCGTACACATTCAGATCGGCCAGTGTGGCAACCAGATCGGAGCCAAGGTAAGGAAAGTTCGATGACTAGTGCTGGCCTTTCCATGGTCCACAGTGCAGCCAACTCAGAAAATCCCCTAAGTTAGCAGGGCGGACCGGGAGCCCAGCAGATGGAGGCGCTTGCCGGGTATCTGACTTATTAAACGACACCTGTAGTTCAAGAGACCCAGGAAATAGTAAAGGCTTAAAGGGTTAATTTAATTCATGTTAATTCTGTTGACAGTTACATGTGTACAATACACCTGTCAACCATTTTTACTCTGATCACTTTAGCAATGAACTTTTCATATCTAAAACCAGGAATTTGTCTCAAAACAGTTTTCCAAAGTTTCTTGGGAAAATTTTTACACCGTATTACTAAGATATCTTTCCCTCCCTCCCATGTTTATGTTATAAAGTTAAAAAAGATCAACTACTATTTTCTTTCAAACGCAACAGAAAATGAAAGAGGTAAACCTAAAAGTTTTTTGGGTCCAGCAGCAGAAATAATTAAAATATATCCTCTGGAATATAGAAGTTTTCTCCTTCCCCCTTAAATTTTTCTAAAAAATACCTGGTACTGTTGGCCAATGCTAAAAAACAGATGCCACAGCCCAAGGTCTCCAACCCTAATTTTAAGATGATCAGTTCTACTATATAACAACTGTCTCTTTGCTATTTCGAAATTACTTTTACTGGTACGAATTGCATTAAAAATTTAATTGCATTAAAACTTTAAAAAATTTAAATGTGATGAAATGGTATAAAATGTACCATCGTAACCATGTTTAAGTGTACAGCTCAGTAATGTTAAGTATATTCACACTGTCGTGCCTCCAATCTCCTAAATGTTTTTCTTCTTGCAAAACTGAAACTCGGTACCATGAAACACTAACTCCCCATTTCCCCTCCCCCTGCCCCTGGCAACCGCTATTCGCCTTTCTGTCTCTATGCATTTGACAGCTCTTGGTGTCCCATATAACAGTATTGGTCCTTTTGTGAGTGGCTTATTTCACCCAGCATAGTGTCCTCAGTGTCTATCCCTGTTGTAGCCTGTGTCAGAATTTCCTTCCTTTTTAAGGCTGAATAATAGTCCATCCTATAGAGAGACTGCATTCTGTTTATCCAGTCATCTGTCAATGGACACTTGGATTGTTTCCAACTTTTGGCTATTGGAACTAGTGCAGCTATGAAAAAATGAAAGTCTTTTAATACAGGTGTTTAAAACCCGAGGCAAAGAAAATGACCGCTTGCAAAGGAGGTGTCATCCTTCCTTGCCGAGTGATAAGACGTTCAAAACTGAAACACACAGAGAAGTGGGAGGCGTGGGCCCCAACTGCACTGAAGTTGGAAGACAGGATGGAGAAAGGACCCCAGGAGGGAGAAGAGGGTCTAGACAGGGTCTCAGCTCTGAATCCAGAACTGTGTTGTCTAGTGGTTAGAGGCCCAGCAACTACTTATTATTTGGGGCCATAAGAGCTTCAAGACACATTTAATTTGTGGTGTGAGAGAACTTAAATTTCTTTCTTTTCCCACACCCTGAAGGGTGCTGATAATTTACTATAAAGTAATCTTGTTCATAAGACCAAGGCCACATCAGAGCCATCATTTACAAGATGTGGTTGGGAAAACACCCTTGGGGATTTTAACATAAGTGAATGTATTTTCATTGCGCTTTACTATGTGCTCCTTCAGGGTAACGAAAAGGGGTTATCTCAGTCACTGTTTCCATTCCATATAAAGAGCTTGGCACCTGCCTATATTCATAAATGCTGTAATGTGACTGAAAGTGTAGTATGTCTCAGATAGTAACAAGAGAACAGCTACGCATAATTTTGAATCGAGCGCATACCTGATCATCCAAATGCACGCAGTTGAAAAGCATGCATAGGTGTCTTAGTGATGGGCTTTTGGGAAAACTGCATGAAAATAAATCCGCAAAGTGAAAGGGGATGTTATTGTGAAATCGGATAAGAATTCAGTTTATTTTCACGTAATGGGATCTATGCTTTACTAGCTGGAAGCACCGTAAGGCCAAACTAGAGATACACTTCTCGTGAGAAACTCTAAAAGAACAGCATTAATGTACACAAGGGCCTGAATTTAATAGGAGCAAAATCCAATTTAATATTCTATGTGTTGACATTTTATTGAAGCCGTTCAGGCTGACATAAAGAATCTTCACTTCACGGTGAGCAGAGGTGAAGAGTACGTTACGCCATGGGGTGGGCAGTTAGGAAAAGGGCCCCCAAGACCATGTTGGGGACGGAAGCGGGCCCAGGGGCCCTCACTTCCTGTCTTTCTGCTCAATGTGTTGTCGCCGACCTGGCGCTTGTCGGGGTCCCTCTGGACACTGACCTCCCCTCCTTCTGCTTTCAGTTCTGGGAGGTGATTGGCGAGGAGCATGGGATCGACTGGGCCGGAAGCTACCGCGGGGACAGCGCCCTGCAGCTGGAGAGGGTCAGCGTGTACTACAACGAGGCCCATGGTAGGACCTCGCTGTCGGCCCCCATCACCAGCCCCAGGGACGCGGCAGAGAGAGGAGGTCCCGCGAGACCGGAACACCAGATGGGGGATGTCCCGAGTGACCGAGGGCAGGACTGGCCACTGGAGGGTCACTGGTCTCTGGTCACTGGAGGGGGGCACACTCTCAACACAAGCAGTTTAGGCCCCGACCTTCCCTTCTGGGTTTTATTTTATTTTATGAATTAATTTATTTTTTAATTTTTTAAAACTTTTATTTCAGCTGCGCTGCACAGCTTGTGGGATCTTAGTTCCCCGACCGGGGACTGAACACGTGCCCTCGGCAGTTGAGAGCGCGGCAGTCCTAACCACTGGATCACTGGGGAATTCTCCCTTTCTGGTTTTTAAATAAAAAGTAGAATCATTTCCAATAGGAACAAAATCCCTGTCGCTGTCAAGACAACAAACAAAACGGACAACGATGGAGAAAGTTATTTCTGCGGCATTCTACAGATCTGTGTGATCGCTGCTGCAGTCCCAGATACGATTTCCAGTCTTTCTATCACAGACACCTTCTAGGAGGGCTCTTTTCTTCTGGACCCGTGTCACAGGGTTCTACTCTGATGAAACATTAACCTTTAGAAAAACAGCAGTTGGCTGACTTCTTCCTATTTTTCCACGCAGGTAAGAAATACGTGCCCCGAGCAGTCCTGGTGGACCTGGAACCTGGGACCATGGACAGCATCCGATCCAGCCGACTGGGGGCCCTCTTCCAACCGGACAGCTTTGTCCACGGTAGGTTTTCCTGGAAGGTTCCAGCGGGAAGAGAGGAGCGCCTCCTGGTGTGTTGCTGCCGACACCCTTCCCCCGACCCCAGCGGGCTAACCGAGTCCCTTGTGCCGCAGGTAACTCTGGGGCCGGCAACAACTGGGCCAAGGGCCACTACACGGAGGGGGCCGAGCTGGTGGAGAGCGTGCTGGACGCGGTGCGCGCCGAGGCCGAGGGCTGCGACTGCCTGCAGGGCTTCCAGCTCGTGCACTCGCTGGGCGGGGGCACGGGCTCGGGGATGGGCACGCTGCTCCTGGGCAAGATCCGCGAGGAGTACCCCGACCGCATCCTCAACTCCTTCAGCGTGATGCCCTCGCCCAAGGTGTCGGACACGGTGGTGGAGCCCTACAACGCCGTGCTGTCCGTGCACCAGCTCCTGCAGAACTCGGACGCCTGCTTCTGCATCGACAACGAGGCCCTCTATGACATCTGCTTCCGCACCCTCCGGCTGGCCACGCCCACCTACGGCGACCTCAACCACCTGGTGTCCCTGACCATGAGCGGCGTCACCACGTCGCTGCGCTTCCCGGGCCAGCTCAACGCCGACCTGCGCAAGCTGGCCGTGAACATGGTGCCCTTCCCGCGCCTGCACTTCTTCATGCCCGGCTTCGCGCCGCTCACGGCCCAGGGCAGCCAGCAGTACCGCGCGCTCTCAGTGGCCGAGCTCACCCAGCAGATGTTCGACGCCCGCAACACCATGGCCGCCTGCGACCCCCGCCGCGGCCGCTACCTGACCGTGGCCTGCATCTTCCGGGGGAGGATGTCCACCAAGGAGGTGGACGCGCAGCTGCTCGCCGTGCAGACCAGGAGCAGTGGCTGCTTCGTGGAGTGGATACCCAACAACGTCAAGGTGGCCGTGTGCGACATCCCGCCCCGGGGGCTGAGCATGGCGGCCACCTTCATCGGCAACAGCACGGCCATCCAGGAGCTCTTCAGCAGGATTTCTGAGCACTTCTCGGCCATGTTCAAGAGGAAAGCCTTCGTGCACTGGTACACGGGCGAGGGGATGGACATCAATGAGTTTGCCGAAGCCGAGAGTAATATCCAGGATTTGGTGTCCGAGTACCAACAGCTTCAAGATGCCGAAGCAGTTCCGGAGGAGAAGGAGGAGGTCGGGGGCGAGGCAGAAAGGGAACCAGGAGATAAGGGACATTAACCGCGAGAGAAGCTGCGCGAGGCTGGCCGCGGCGTGGAGTCACGTCCAGTGTTCTCACCTAGGATGAGTGAGTCCCCACGGCCGTCCCCGGCCAGTTCTGCACCGTAGCACCGCGACCCACACGCAGCCACCCAGTATTAGCTTCAACACAGGACTGCGCGGGTGGGGAAGTACTGATGGGCAGTAGGGTCTTCTGCTGGCACCGACTAGCCTTGAAGAGCTTCATATCCCCTGCCCACTCTAGTCGCTTCTTTTTAATAGCCAGGTGAATTTATGGTAAAGCGCTCCCTCTGTTTAAAGATCTGGATTGGCTATTTGCTGTATGCCTAGCACCGCGCCAGGCATCAGGGCTCCACACGTGAACGCGTGGGGAGCCACTGCAGTTGAGGTTAAATTGTAAATGCTTTAGCTACGCTGGTAAGCGTCCCGGAATCTGTACTTGGCATCCCGGGCTGCTAAGGCTCTTCCTGCAGGTTCTCTCTTAACTCGCTGCCCGCAGCCCACCTGTTCACACCTGCCGGCCTCCAGAAAAGCCAGGTGACTGCTTGGTGTGCAGGAGGTTCGCAGAGGTAAATGGGCTTCAGCGTCCACTAAATTGTGGAGACCGTGTGTACATTTCAACGTACCAACTGCAAAGGGCAAAAGGGAGGAAAGGAGAGTGGCATTCCTTCCCACAAATACCCGGGCAAAAAAAATAAAAAACAAAAAACGACAAGCAAAACTCGAGAACTCCAATCCTCTGATCTTTATGTCTGAAGAGCTAGCTTTTAACATAGGTGTATTTACATACTTTTAAGTTTCTTACTGATGTTTGATTCTGAGAATTCATTAATCATCTTTGGTTTTCCTTGTAAAGGTTATCTCGAAATGCCCTTTTCACTTTCATGCGGCGATCACCTCCTGAAAGCTCTCTGTAGCCGCTCTGTTCTTTAAAAGGGCACAGGCGCGCTCGGCAACCATTCAAACGGAGGAATTAAGCAGCGGTGGCTGCAGTGTCCTTCGCAGTTACGGAAGACATCGTCTCATTAGGGAACTTTTACAGTTCAAATTAATTTGCAGAAGTTGCCATAAATGTTTGCATGATCATGCAGCTTTAACCATTACATGATTTTAATCTGCTCACATTACAACAGGACCAGATACACAAAAGCGTAATCAGATCATCCATAACTTCTTAATTACAGTTTACCTATTCCTGACATACAGCACTGCCATCCCTTCCAGTGCCGCAAGGGTTTTAATGGCCTTCTAGAATTACCACGGAGCTGTCCTATTTGATCCATGGGTAGCTGGCGACAGGAGGAAATATTTACTTGCAGGCAACTGGATTTGCTCTGTAATCTGCAGTAATGAGGTAGCCGGTGAATGGGTGACAGCAGCTCATTTTGAGAATCTTCACTCTTTTCATGTAGTCTCATGAGGAAATAACTAAAACATGTACCAAGAGAAAATTGTCTCGCTGTTGGTATCATGACAAGTCTTCTATTTCCAGAATTACAAAAATAAATAAATAAATAAATAAATAAATTTAAATACTTTCTACTTGTGGTTCAAAAAGCACTAAAAACAAAAGTAGCTTTAAAAGTAGATTTACGGAACTGCACCTAAACGACTCCTAGTTTGAAGTTCATAACTTCCTTAGATGCTAAAAAGACTTATAACCTGCGATTACATAAGAATTTACACACGATTCCTCTAGCACTTTTTTTCACTTTCTCAAACCTGAAAAGGCAATTAAATAGATGCAAGAAAGGATAAAGATCTAAATTTAAAAAAAAAACCCTGCTGATTTATATTACTGTAAAGATTTTTGTTTGCTCAACAGTAATCATTAAAATAAAAGAAATACAATTTTAAATGGCTAAATTGCTTTATTTCAGACTAAATAAATTCCTTTTCTTGGAATTCTAACCATCCAGACTGATTAATGTGAGTAGTTAAAAATATTTTCAGAATGCATCTCACCATCCTACTCTTTCGTATGGTAGAAATAGATTAAAAAAAAAAAACAAAAACCCCACTAGAAACCGAAAGAAATCTGTCCCCTGTGATTTTGAAGAGCCTATTCCTTTAGCTGTATGGTTGCTACAGCGACATTGGTCTCTCGGAAACCAAGACGGTAGAATCAGAATTTTAGAGCTTGTCCGATTCCTTCACTTCACACACGAGAACACTGCGTGAGTGGAGAGACTGAATCCCTCACAAATCACTCAGGTGGTTAGTGAAATACCCACAAGAAGATCTGATCAGGGTCCCCTGGTAATCTGGACACGGTGGTCCTGCCAGCTCCCAGCAGGGCTTCACAGTATCGGTTCAGGATTTTTTAATCACAGAGAAAGAGCCTCAAAGAATCTTTACTGAGCAGTGAATCTGTCCTTTACTCAGTTGACTTTTAATCCTTTCCATACCACAAGCCCTGTCCCTAAGTCTCTTTTCTAATTATCCCATTTGCCTCCCGAATGAATGACTTATCTCTAATTGAATTGGCTGGAAAGAATTTAGCCCTCTGCCTATCAGTTACTTTATTTGCCTGGTACCAAAAAGGCCCCACGGCCTTGTGATCCATTTATTCCTGTCCCTGTAATGAAAGATGCCTCCTGGTACCTTAATTGTGGGGACCGGAAGCATGACAACTGAGGGGCCTTGACTTCAAAAGAGCAGGACAACAGCCTGAGGCACAGGGCACAAGGGGCTCGTAGGCTGCTTCTGTCCAGCCCTGCAGCTCCTCGTGTGCCCCATGCCAAGAATGAGATAAAGCCTGTAGGTCAAGTGTCCAGGGCAGGAAGTCCTCTCCAGAAGCCAACAACAAAGGCGTTTTCTTGCCCTCATCCTTGGCATGGCGGAGTGGCCGTGATAAATTATTGTTAGCTTAAGTACCAAGCTGAGAACCTGTCCTGGGGCAGAAGCTAAACCGGTGTTTCAACATTTACTGTCCAAGTGTCTCTCTCCATCTCCAGAAGTGGGTAAAAATCAAGCAGTTAACTTTGCAACTTTGTAAACTTTGGGGTTTTACTTGGCTGAATGCCTTCAAGTTTCAAAGAAAGAGAAAAACACCCTGCTGGCAACAATTCTTCAACCCTAAATATTTAATAGGTAAATGAATCACCGTGAAAACACCATGGACCTGCTGTCATGAATGATCATACCCTAGACCTGCAGTCCAGAAGCTTAGATTTTCACGTCAGCTCGGTAAGCATGTTGCTGAGCGGCTTTGCCTCGTTTCCTATGAGAAGTGCTCCCAGAATATAAAGATTCACTCATAAGACAATGTGAAAAGTATCTTGTGCTTAGCGAATTTCGACAATAGTACTTCTCGATAGCTTTGAAGTGCACGATAGAAAATGAATACTACAATTTAGCATTTCTTCTCATCTACGCTTTCCATAATTATTCGCACTCAGCCTGCTGAGTCGCACCACCTGGATACGGCTGCCGGCGCAGAAGGACGAGGCCAGCAGACAACCCGGCCCACCCCTGACCCCAACCCACTGCTCTGACATGACGTCTGCAATTCAAAGATAAAGGGCAAGACAGCCTCAATGACGGAGCCCAATTCTGTCAATTACGTCACGAAAAAGAGAACCTTCTCTTTTGAGACGTTTTCAAAATGTCTCCTGGATCCCTCTGGTCACTAGATATGATATCTGTTCTCCCTTTAACTTTTTTTTTCTTTTTTTCAGCTGTACGTCTTACAGGATCTTAGTTCGCCGACCAGGGATCGAACCCGTGCCCCGTGCAGTGGAAGCTCGGAGTCCTAACCACTGGACCACCAGGGAATTCACTGTTCTCCTTTAAAAAGCCCTGGTTCACATGATCATAATCCTGCAGTGGTGTGGTAGTTCCCAAACAGAAGAAGTCCGAGAGAAACCAAAAACCAACAGCAAGAGTGAACTGTACTTTAATTCATTGGCATTGTCAATCTATGAACAAGACAGGTTCCCCTCCCACCGCCACGAAGGGGAATCATTTTCAATCTGCCATAACACGTGCCCACACATCTTCACCATGAGCATGCAGCATTTCAAGCTGTAGTCAGGGTCTAGGAGGAAAAGAGAAACAGCAAGTTGCCAGTCCTTCATGTTTTCTTAAAAATCCAACACGAATAGGGAAAGTAACTTCCTTATAATGAGCAGTATAATATGACTGCAGATCCAGTTCACTCGGCTGGTGATAAACCCTGGCTCTCAGCTGTAAAAAGTGCAGGTTCACGTGCACTGCCTTAGCCAAAGAGGCACTTCCCTGCTAAGGAAAACCAAACACTCTCCCCGCAATAAAGAAACACTCTGCCTTTAAAAGACGCTAAATCCCCTATGCTGAGGCGGTGGGGCTGCGTCCCCAGCACAATGGATAGAGAATGGTCACTGTTCTGCTTACCGGAGCTGGACACTACTACTTCCTGGCCCAAAGGACATTACAAGGTGGAGGGAGTTCGATGCGGAGTCTGGCTCGGCCATGCTGCAGGCACAGGCTGGGTGATTTTTCTCAGTTAGCTCGTTGTTAAAACAAAACAACCCAACTTAAAACCAGGTCTCATTCCTCAGAATTATGAGATCAGACAGAGAGCCCCAGAAAAAGGGCTCAACACCGCATCTCCAGACTTGTAATAAAATATTTACTAATTCAAAATGAAAATGAAAAGTGCTTAGGGGAGACAGTTCCAATAAGTAAAATCGCTCATAACCACAAGCTGCCAAAGGATTACTATTTATCACATTTCCCTGCAACTGCGGGTCTGAAGCTTTTTTAAAGCTAAACAAGAAAATTAAATCTGAAAAACAGCTTTCTGGTAATTTGCCTCGCCTGATCTTCGAAATAATAATGTCAAGAAAGCAGTTTAGAGATCAAATCACTTTGATAGTTTGGAACACAAAAGTCTGAACTTATCAACTGTACGAAACTGCCTTACTTTGCATTGCCAACATCAGAAATAAAATGAACCAAACTCTGAAAACATAAATTTAGCAAAACAGTATTCACTGCAGGGTCTTGCCGATTTTATTGCTTGATAAAATAGCAGGAGCCTTGCCTGTACTTGTAGCCCTACGTTCGGGAAATAGTGATTTGTGAGAACATGAGCAGATGTGGGGGAAATAAAAACTCAAACAACTGTAATTTTTCATGCTCCTGAACTGTTACATAACTCCAGTAACAATTATAAAAGTGGGGAGTTTATCCTCCGAATTATTTGATTTTGTGCAGACACATGAAACAGGTTTAATTAAAATAAGATGGCTTTCTACCTAGCATTGCTCAATGAACTGAAAATCAACGTGGCAGGTTACTTCTGCTTGTCAGGGCCTCGAAATGACATTCTTTGATGATGCCATGGGGCTTCCACAACCTGTATGCGTGACATTATCATCCCACTAACTAACTTCTAGATGTGCTGATGGACCAAATGTGGACAGAAGGCAGAACTAAAATTATTTTGATTTTTAAAAGCTCTCTAAATACTTAAGATGCAACTCTTTCTCTAAATCCACCAACAACTTACAGATTATTCCTTTTTCACTTTCACAATTTTTATGCTGCTGCCAGAAGTCTTCTCGGTGTTTGCTTTGAATCCCGTCTTCAGTGCATCCCTCACTGCTTTTGCACAGATCTGGGAGTATCGGATGTAGCTGGAGGAACACGAGAGACAATATAAAGCTAATTATCAATGATCCAGCCAGACTTGCTGTGTGACTGTGCTTTTGTTTTTCTTCCTATACTTTTCATTTTGGTTGGATTGTACATCATTGTAGAACTGAACTTAAAAATGACTAATGCAGGGCTTCCCTGGTGGTGCAGTGGTTAAGAATCCGCCTGCCAATGCAGGGGACTTGGGTTTGAACCCTGGTCCGGGAAGATCCCACATGCCGCGGAGCAATTAAGCCCGTGTGCTCCAACTACTGAGCCTGAGCTCTAGAGCCCACGAGCCACAACTACTGAGGCCCGTGCGCCCTAGAGCCCGTGCTCCACAACGAGAAGCCACCGCAATGAAAAGCCTGTGCGCAGAAACAAAGACCCAACATAGCCAAAAAAAAAAAAAAAAAAGTTAATTAACTAATTAAAAAAAAATGACTAATGCAAAAGGAATCTATACAAAGAAAAAGAAGAGCAGAAAGAAATATATCAAAGTCTTAATTGGGGTTAGGTGATTTTTGGTTTTTCTTCTTTGCAGTGTTTTCTCTTTAATACATATTAATTTGAAATAAAAGATGCATATATTAGAGAAAAAAATCCCACAGCACAGTAAACAGTCCTAAATGTTAACAGAGGGTATGAGTGGTCTTTTTCCATTTCTCTATTTAAAATTTTTTCTTTTATTATTCTTACAAGGTAAAGTATACATAATTAAAAGAGGGAAAAAAACTATTTTGAATTAAAACAGCTCTACTTCTGATTATTTAAAGGTTTTCCTGAGAATATTGGATTCTGCTTGTCAGGCCTGCCATTGAAAATACTTCCCAAGCAAGGTTTCTAAATTAAACTGAGAAGTCCTTAGAGAACATCATCAATTCTAGCAAAATATCTAACAGGCTGCTTCCTGTTTGGTAGATGGACTCCCATCAACATCTTATTTTCCAAAAGATGTCAGCTCACTTTTTACACTGTTTGAAAACAGGAAGGACAGAGGGGAGGGAGCTGCTGACTATTTTCTCATGTTTCAGGTTTGTTTTTTTGGGCCAGAGGTAGGAGTTCCAATTCTTGCTTCCACTCCTACTAATTGGTGAATTTTAAGCTGTTCCATCTTTTGGGCTAATTTATTCTGTAAAAACAATGGAACAAAGCAGAAGGATAACAGTATTTGCCTCACTGGTGGTAGGGAGGAGGAAAGACAAAGTGTGGAGAGCAGGATTGCCCCACCTGTCTCGTAGTAGGTGCTTAATACATGGTC